TATCATTCAAAAATAACTAAATATATCTAATTTTCTTGATAAACTAAATATATATAATTAATTTAAAGTTTTATATGTATAAATAAGTGATACATACATAAAACAAACGACAAATATAAAAATTAATTTAAATTATGTTCATGTGACCTAATATATAACTCAAAAAAACTTTTAACCTTTTCCCTCACCCCCTAACTTCAATTTCTGGCTCCATCCCTGGTCACACGTTTATGCTTTTGCTTCAGATTTTATTTTATTTTGTTTGAGATAAGGCAATTGCTTTCGTTCCAGATTTTTCATCTCCCTTTCCCAATGAAGAGATGTTAGTTAGGGTAAAGGGCGGTCACTTTTATTAAGTTTTTAGTTTTATATGTCAAAAGTTTATATCCCGCCCTACTCTTTTCACCTCATTTCACTTTGTTAAGGTGACTTCGCCTTTATAAAGCTTACGTTCATATATAATATGTATATATATATATATATATTGTTAAACTCATGGTAATGTGATGTGATGCTGCCAATCCTATATTAATAAAAGTGTAATTGGGTGATATATAAAAGTCATCATCAACTATTATTAATATCTTGTGCTTTCTAAAGCAAATTGCTTCATAACCTGAAAAATTGAATATATCATTAGTATCAGTCTCGACTTGATGTCTAAATGCATATCAAATACTACATGGCAACTTAACAAGCGCCTATAAAAACTTTAAAACTCATGAGAAAAAACCATTTTCCTTAGCTTGTTCTTTATTTCTATTTTTATTATTGATTTTGCCTTAGCTCTTTTTTTTTTTTTTGTACCGAACCTTTTGATATCAAAAAATTATATTAAATTCTCTTAATATCTCTTCTTCTTTTTTATTTACAAAGCTTTAAATCAATATTTTATTTTTCAAAAATTAAATTATTTTCATTCAACTTAATAAATCATTAATCGTGCCTTAATTAGCTTGTTTTTTAAGTAATAAAGAAATCTCATTTTAAGAGTTCAGGCTGAACACGCTAGTACCTAGTGTACTACATGACAATTGAACACTGGGACTCAATGCTCCCAAACCAAGTTGGACCTAACTGGTTCAATTTATTTTTCTTTCTCCATATGTACAAATTAACAAGCATGTAGAAAAACCTTAAGCTGCCTTAACTTGATCTCTTGCTATTTTTCCTTTTATTTTTATGTTG